TATTATTAAATTACTTACGAGTTTAATTTGTCAGCAACTTCCTGCCAGCCCTCTCTCCTTGCTTTTGCAGCCTTTGCAGTGTTCCCTTGCGTTTTAATTACACTCTGAAACTCCTGAAATCCCTCAATCAAGAGTTCTTGCTCTGCTGCGGAAAAATACTGAGCGCGCTCCTTCGACATTTTTGCCGACCAATCAAAGGGTTGCCGATCAATGTTTCTACTATCGATGCGTAGCCCCTGTTAAGCCACCCAGTGATCTCACATTACTTCATCCAGCTGTACTAATCGTCAACAACAGGTTTGTTCGGAGAACTGGGATAGCGAGCTCAAAGTTAGCGCGATGATTTGATCTTGGATGTGTCATTCGATCTTGGATGTAGTAAGCGAGGTACGAAGAACGGACCCCTGGTGTTTCTTAAATGAAACCTCTTTCAGTGGGTCAACAGAACAGCTGGCATAGGACAGCTGTGATGAAAGAAAGGCAAGAAGTTTCTCCAAACCTTTGGACCCAGAAACCCAGCTTGGTCCTGATGGTCTCCCTCACTAGTTTCTCTCCAGGGTGAATGTAGCTGTTGATATAATATGGACTCTATTATTAAATGAAAAGAACAAATTAGACTACACTACTGAAACCTCCTGCTGATGTTTTTAAAGTTTCCATGTTACCAGGCTATAGAGATTTAAACAGTTTTACATCCATTACACTCACAGTCTTATGTTAAAATCTCAAAGGACAGCGTTATATTTTTGATATTAACAGTAACTCTGGGCCTCTGTGGAGTGTGCAGCTGATCTCATCACTGTCTAAAAATGGAAACAAAACCTAAGGAGTCCTGAATCATTCAATAACAGACTATTAGAGTAACAGGTGTGTAGCATCCCTAGCTAGCTAGCAACAAGCCTCCAACACAGTGCGTATGCTAGCGGCTAATCTAGCAAACTAATTAACAACAGAGTGATTTTAGATGTTGTAGAACTATAAGATGATAAGCTGTGTTTCTTTTTCATAACAGTGACGTGGTTGTATTTACCTTAATTTAACGAGTCGTCAGTCGCGGTAAACCAGCTAAAAACTGGAGCAGCCGGGCTACGTAAAAAGTGTAGGGGGCGTGTTTCCGGCCATGTCCAGCGGGTGTGTGGGCGGGAGCGTGACGCAGTCGCTCCACCTCAAGTCACTACTGCGCAGACTCTGGCTCCAAAAATGCAAGATGGCAGCCTCCACAAG